ATATATTAAAAAAAAAAAAAAACTCATCGATTTTTTAATGGTGCGTGTGATACACTCTTCTATTTAACTCAACCTAATTTAAATATCAATTTAATTAAAAATTTTAACTAATAATAAAAAATAATAAAATGGGTAAATGTTTGGGGGGTTAAAAATCAAAGAAAGAGGGTGAAGGGATAAAGGCACGATCATTTGTAAAAAAAAAATATTCTCTTCTATCTCCTTCGATAATGACTACACCATGTCTCAATCATGATTTTCCATTAAACTTTGAAATTTTTCATTAACCTTTGAGTTCACTAGGAATTTTAGTTTAATACTAGATTTGGGATAAATTAGGGTTTGGAAAAATTTCAATTAGAGTTTGGTAAAAATTATAGGCTTTTGATGGAAAAAGAAGACCTAAATGAAGAAGAAAGATAATTTTAGAAAAAATAAGAGAAGAAAAAAATTTCAGATGACATCCATAAAGAGAAAGGAAGAAGAAAGATTAAAAATGAAGAAGAAACCTAGAATATAAAGAAAATAGAAGGTAGATAGAAAAATTGAATTTTATAAAAGAGGGTAACACTAATTAACCATTAGATACAGCCAGATGGGGCCATTTTTATATATAATTTTATCTCTCATGCGATATATATATATATATATATATATATATATATATATATATATATATATATCAAAAATGAGGGATTTTTCAATATATAGGATATAGTTAAGGGGATTTTGCGGATACATATAATTTAAGCAGGTAACTGACAAAAACGTGATAGTTTAAGAAAATCTGAGGATATTCACTCATTATTTTTTAATAAAGAGGGAGATCCCAATGAAATCATAGATTGCCTATGTATTATCTAGAATCTAGAAATCTCCCGTGTATTATTTGTGATCACCCAAGTGATCTCCGGTGATCGCTTATTAATTTTTACTAGGGTCTTTTTTTTTTTTTTTAAATAAAATGAGGATTCTAGTGAAACTATAGATTATCTATGTGTTATCTAGAAATTGCTCATGTATTGTTTATGCTAGTCTGAGTGATCTCCGCTCTATTAGTTACTTTTAGGATCATTTTTTATAAAGTGGGAGATTCTGCTTAAATCATAGATCGCCTATTAGAAATCGCCTATAAATTATTTACGATGGTCTAAGTGATTTTCGGATGATGGCTTGTTAGTTATTATCAAATTTTTTTTATTATAATATAATCCTTAACTATTACCAATATTCTCAAAAATAAAAATACGCCGCGTCTCTTTTTTTAAAATCCCTACCAAATTAGGAGGATCTATAGTGTTTCCACCCTCGGCCTCGGTGACTCAACATGCGGCATTTCCTCATTAACTAATTTTCTCTTTGAAAAAAAGATCTTTAAAAAGACAAATATACCCCTGGCAAGTGGCGTAACAGGACCAAATAGAGAAATTGGGAGGCAATTTCTTCAACCGTCAGTCCAAAGCAAAGGCAATTTCGCGTTAAAGACAGTTTCTTAGTTGTATTCTCATGGCTTTTTCCCTATTGTCCCCTTCTCCGAAACCCCTCTCTACCGTCCAATTTCTCCTTATATATTATTCACAAACACACCCTTTTTACCAAACAGTTCAAAGCTTCTCTCAAAATCAATTCTTTTTTCTTCTCTTCAATCAATGGCTACTTCAAGAAAATCCAACTTCAATGATTTCTTGCCTCTTATGGCTGAAAAACTAGGTGGGGATGGTTTGATTGGTGAATTATGTAAAGGGTTTCAGCTATTAATGGATAAGGATAAAAGGGTCATTACATTTGAGAGTCTAAAAAAGAATTCTGCTTTGTTAGGGCTTCAAGATTTGAGTGATGATGATCTTAAGAGTATGCTTAAAGAAGGTGATTTTGATGGAGATGGAGCTCTTAATCAGATGGAATTTTGTGTTTTGATGTTCAGATTGAGTCCTGAGTTAATGCAGCAATCTCAGTTTTTGTTAGAAGAAGCTCTTAACCAAGATTCTGAGTTTTCATTCTAACTTTTGTAAGCACATAAAACACATTGAAATATATATACAGATGTTTACTGCACCCTTTTGTGTTATTCTCCTTTTGTTGTTGTTTTTGGCTTTGTTCATGTATGTCTTTGTTATCATCTGTATCTTTGTTTTGAGCTTGTGATTTTAACCAAACCTAGAAAAACTAGATTATATTCATCATTGTTAACTTGACAAGTAAAATTGACTAAAATGACAGCTGCCAGTTCACAGACTCTGATTTTGCTAGTAGTTCTACACCTCTTACTGTAATTGCTCAGCTAATTGAAAATTGCATTGTTGTGACGGCAAGTTGTCGCGACGGTCAAGTTGTCTCCATGTGGGTTCGAGCCGTGGAATCAGCCACTAATACTTGCATCAGGGTAGGTTGCCTACATCACACCTTTGTAGGGTGTGACCATTCCTCGGACCTTGCGTGAACGCGGGATGCTTTGTGCGTCGGGGAAGGGGAACCTTGGAGCAACAATAAATTTGTCTCCGTGTGACCTATAGGTCACGGGTTCAAGCCGTGGAGGCATGCTTGTATTAGGTTAGGCTGTCTATATCATATCCCTTTTGGTGAGGCCCTTCCACGAGCCCTGCGTGAACATGGGATGCGTTATGCATGGGGCTGCCCTTATTGTTGTGATGGCTAAATTTGTTGGTAATCTCTCCACTAAGAAGAGAGCAAAAACCACAAATTTTGTGATAATATTCTCCAATCGTCTCATAAGTTTACAATGAAAGGTCCTGAAGAATTTGCTTGAGCCTTAGAATAGTTCAGGTTCATCTTACCATGTTGACCCATACATATAATTCTTGGCAAAGTGAACATCACTTTGGGACAGGTAGAGCTTGTCTATGTCTTTTTCTCCTTGCATTTGTTGTATAGTAATGAATAAGTGTATTTTGATTGTGTACAGAATGGCTAAATGCATCATCATATGATGATTTTTTATGGATTCCTAACGACTAATCATGTAAGCTAATGTTATGAACCTATGGATGTTCTTTGGCTTATTCTCTATTATGCTTGTTTTACTCTACTCAATAGGGAGAACACATGCAGTGTCCCATAGAATCGATCAATCTCAATCTCTAAGTGCTGGTGAGAGCATTGCTTAAATAAATAAAGATCCTCCCTTTCTAAGATCGTATGTCAATCTGTCACTACTCTGTCTTATTGCTGATAGAAGTTGCTTCTCTTTAAGACTTTAACTGCTAAAGACGTGTGGGTAAAGCAGTCTTAATTAGTCTAATCACAGTTGCCGTGCTTTCTGGATTGGTTCTTCTCTGCTACTATGTTTCTCGGAGGAAGAAATTGGATAAAGGTGTCTGCAGCAGAGCTAATTTCACAGTGTCGTATAACACTAAAATGTAACAAAATGTTTTAAACTTGTGATGGAGTCATGGTAATTGCATTCTTCAGATTGTTGCATTCTGTTTCCTCCCC